TACCCTAATTGGATCATTAACATTTGACTGCATAAACCAAACATAGATAAATAATGGATTACACGCACAATTTCACGCGCGTCCTATTAGGATAAGTATCAATACTAATCTTAGTGGATGCATCAGGTATATGCCTCCTAAACTCTTGCCATATTTTTTTATAGAAAAAATCGACAAAACGTTAGATTGTGCGTTGCAGCTAAATTTAATTGTGTCAGAGAAGTAAAAAAAAATGTCATGTTCGTGAATCTCACTTGATGCCTCATCATTCCGTGTGTCTTACAACCTCTGGGATGCTGTCTTGCTGACTGACACAATGGTCATATTGTGTGCATGTGTGGGGTTACATTGAGAGACAGAGAGAAGAACACGTGGAACATAGCACACAAAGACAAAGATCCCCCGTATAGCCTGAACAGCCACGGCACACGAGGGGTGGGTGGCCAACACCACGCCCTGCAGCCTTTGTCTCCCCAGTGATGATGTTTACACATCACACTAGGTACTCATTTTAGGCTGAGTCTACCTTGGGGAGGCCCACGACGAGGTCAGATAATCGACACTGGTGAACGGGAATTGAACCCGGGTCAGCCAGGTTCGTAGCACAACGCGCTAACAACTGCACTACTGCTCCCCACTTAGAACATACACAAGGAGAGAGATATCAGATTGACTTGATAAGAGTGGGCTTGGGCCGGACACGAGAAGGGATGATGGCTGGGTGGCCAAGACAGCCAAAGGAGGACACACACCCAAGATTTCACCGCTCCATCGCGGAGATGGAGCGGTGAAATCAGCCCCGTGTGCAGGTGTTAGATGGATTGTTGCATTGCAACACCACGATAGATGGTGACAGCTTGGAGCGGCCTTCATCCAGCAGTGGATTGATCATGGCTGACGATGATTGTGATGGTCATTGTTATTCGTAGCAAAAATATGTAACGGTCAAATCTGTTGGCTCTTCTTCCTTCATTCCTTGAAGGAGTTGATGGTTTTTCAAATTGTTGTGGTACCGACGGCACACCCACAGAAGGGAAGGCAATCGTGTTTTAAGAACGTGATCTAAACATACTTAAATACTGAGTTTGCGCCACAGGCCGTCCCTCAGTAACTAAGTGCAGTGATGTGCTTGGTGACCACAACCAAAAAGTGACTGTGTGTGTACGTTGACACTCTATTCACACGGTGAATTAATGGCCATTTGCTGACTTTGGAGGTTGAAATCCCCTTGTCTTTGTGTCTTAACGGGGTGGTGGATTGTGTTAGTTCTTCACACAAAGGGTACTATTATACCAACGGCATTGAGTTTTTGAAAGCCTCGCACAAGTGAGCCACCTTCGCTGCGGAATATTGGTTAATCGTGATTTACGGGAATTTATATATTTTTTTATATTTCCTTAGCATTAGACAACTTGATTCAGATGAAAGGGCATTGATCAGCACGAATTTTAATGGTTTATCAAAATGAGTTGTCTCTTGAACAGCATGACCTCCCTTCACAGGAATTAAAATCTTAAATTTGCTTCCGAAAGTTGTATGAAGAGTATAAATGTGGCAATTATTCAGTCTATTCCCATGGCCAGCAGCTTATTGAATACTACGCTTTAAAATGAAAGTATTAGAATAATTAGACAAATGAGCAATGGGAGTCTCAATTATTTATTCTGATAACATAGAAAAAAACTGAATTAAATTAATCTTTTTAAATATGCACTTGCATGATAAAGCATTAACAAATTGTGCTACTTAAGGTCTAGTGGCTTTATGCTTCAGGTTATAATGCAATGGAACGAGCTCAGCCGAGTCTTCCACAATAGCTGGAAAAAAATCACACCTGCGGCCTCGCCCGCTCCGTGTGAGAGGCAGGGGAGCGTCACAAACTAGCACCCTTCGCCACCGCTGACAACAGCTTCTGTGCAAAATTGTCCGCTGCAGAGTGGTCGTTGAATTCCCCTGCCCCCCCCCCCCCTCCCACGTGACATGATTTTGCAAGAGTGTGCGCGCAGCACGTCAAATCACAAACTTTAAATGGACATGAATTGTTGAGTGCAGCTAAACTAATGTAGGCTTCATGCATTTGAGATGTGGTGTTGCAAAAGGGATGGGAAGAGTACACCGGTGTTAAAATACGAAGAGTGCGGATGCGTTTGCGAGAGAATGGCTACAAGCAGGAATCACCGATGAGAAGGAAGGTGACGCGCGCAGGAGACTACCTCGGAGGGTCGCGCGTCTGGAGAAATGACCGAGATGATTCGGCGAGGGGAAAATGGGAGAAGGAAAAGGGGAAGAGGGAACGACACGGATGGGTCAGTGGGACAGCGTGAGATCGTCGAATGGGACTCTCCGTGAGAGACGCTGAAGATCACGAAAGATGGAAAGCGTCTAGCATGGATATCAACCCTCAGTAATGAGCATGTCAAAAAGAAACTATAGAATTATGATGATGGTAACTTTCTCTATGTAACCGTGGCTTTTCAGGCGTTCTTCAAAACAAACGTTAACAACTTTCAGTTGGCTCTCGCCTCGTTAAACAAGGAACAGCGCTGAATCGATGAAATGTTGCCGAAACCTGTTGAATTAAGCGCACGACACCTGCCTCGTGTTGCTGTGTCCCCTCCTAATGAGCAGCCCTTTCCTCGCACAGGAGTCCCCCCTAAGTATAAAGGTGTCTCGGTAATCGATGCTCGCACCACCTCGCGCTGCCCGCACCGGTGCTTATGGGCCTGTGGGGTTATTCGGAAGGGAATAAACCACGTCCGTACAACGAGGGGGAGTGAGTGTTTCCCCCACGCCACCCAGGGGACTCCCGTATGGAAATTCAAGAGGGGTTTTCAAAATGGAGCCACACTCATCAACCCTACTAATTCAAGGGTCACTTTCGGTGGTATCGGCTGCCCCAATGTTTAATCCTGGTTTACCACATACTGATGTTTAGAGCAAATAATACCGACATATGAACGTTGGGTTCAAAAATAAATCTTTGACAATTTTCGCTTTGAAAATATTTGTTCGCGGTATTTTTAAAGGGTTTAAAACTCCGCAGCCTACTGCTTCAATCGATTGATTTGGCAAGTCCCAGGTGGTGAGTGTGCTTGTTATGATCCCTGGTGCAAGGAATTACATTTAAGCTGAGTTTGAGTTTATTTGTTACACGGATGGCCCCGTTTAGCCAGCTTCCCAGCTGTTTTTACGAAGGAAAGGAGATTCTGTAGCACGTGAAGTTGGCAGCAAGAAAAGACAAAAACATCACAACATTAAACATCACAACAATCGGGGTGGGGGTAGGGGGGGGATGTGCCTGGTCCCCTTCTGGCCTGTGGTTCCCAGTGCAGTTGCACCACATGCACACTCGAAAGCTGGCACTGCTGACGAAGAAGCCTCTGGCTCTGCGCTTTGCACTGCCGCAGGTAATGAGGTCCCCTAGAGTTTGTTTTATCGCAGCGGGATGGCCGCACAACAGAGCAACCACAAGAGAGACTCATTGTGCGCAAAGCCAAAGCACAGCGTTTCTGTGAGGCATTCTATGGATTTATTGATTTGCTTATTTTTTTGTTACTCCTACCTTGTGTCCCCATTTACGCAGGTTTTGCTCAGGGAAGGGGGCGCCTTCAAAAGATGGTGATGGCAAAAAATGGGAAAAAACGTAAACTAAAAAAAATATATACAAAAATCCAAACCTCGGTGATATAAAATGAGAAGCTTGCACGGCGTCAGCTGCCCTTGCCGACGGTGTCCTGCGGCGTGTTTAATTATAGATTTGAAGCTTTCGTGACTACAAGGATTCATATTCTTAGGTTTTTTCGGTAAAGTCACGTAGGTAAAAAAATTAAAATTAATAAAAGTAAAATAAAATAAAAATCACGACGTTTCGGAGGCAACACAAGCTTCCGTCTTCAGGTGGAACCGTCACAGCTGTGAAGACGGAAGCTTGTGTTGCCTCTGAAACGTCGTGATTTTTATTTTATTTTTATTTTATTTTACTTTAATTTTATTTTTTTACCGGCGTGTTTAATCTCGCGCTAGCGGCGCTGCTGTTCCCCGAGGCTGTCGCTGCCCAAGCCTCACTCTGTTGACCCGGTCCACCGCCCCTTTGGCTGCGGTCCCCGGAGTGCGAACCGGCGTGCGCCCGACACACGCCCACGTGGTAGCGCTCGCCCAGCGTCGCTTCTTGCTCAAATGAGCTTGGAACAAGCACACCCTCGTCTCCTTTCATTTAAGCTCGAAGCCGGTGGTGGAAATTCCACTTTGCTATGGAAGATTCCCTTTGTCCATAAGTGGAAGAACCCCTTTGGCTTATTGTACCCCGAGGGATGAGTTACCTCCACTCCTGAAGGGAATTCAGACTCCCAACCTTCCAATTTGCAGGCCTTGTGCTCTAACTGCTGTGCCACCGCTTGGCTGGATTATTAGAACACTGCATGAGCAGTGCTCACATTCGCAGTCGGTCGGTCCAAAATGTCACAAAGCTCAAGCGAGCGAGAAGTGGTGCTCACTCATGTCGGCTCTCCGTAGGCAGCGGTGGAAATTCCACGTTCCTATGGCAGGATGTATCTACGTGCAGTATGTTGAACTTCTTTCGCACCGTACGTAGCCAACCGTGCTAAACGGATCGAGTCTGTCCATTGAAAATGTACCTAATGTCGTGCACTCCATTACGATATGAAGCACAATATAACGTTTTTTTATTATGTGAGGCAAAAGTGTTCCTCGTACACCCGAGCGTTCACATTCCGAGGTATCTGCAGTTGCCCCACCCATGGGGGCACTTGCAGCTTCTGACTTGTCGACGTTGCGTCGTAATTAAACGGATACTGTTGTAGCCATCACATGGATGGCTGATATCCAGATTAAACCCAGACCTCAGCAGAGCCGTCTAAGTGCTCCTGTGACGCCGTATTTAGTCCACCTGGAGCTGAAAAGTGACCGTCTCAAGCTTTTGTCTGATCATCTGTCCTACCCTGGTCTCCGATCTCTCCCCCCCCTCCCCCTCCCTCCTGTAGGATCATTCACGAGGATGGCTTTTCGGGAGAGGACGTGAAGCAGTACAAGCCCGTGGTGTACAGCAACACCATCCAGTCGCTGGCCGCCATCGTTCGAGCCATGGACACCCTCGGCATCGAGTACGGGGACAAGGAGCGGAGGGTGAGTGCCCGCGGTCGGTTTGCGCTTCTTGTCATTGACGAGTCGACGCTCCTACTACTCCGTCCGTGGCTCGTGGCACACCAGTGTGAAGCTACGCACAGGAGCATTCACCGTTAGTTATCGGCTCACATGATGGGGCGAAGGCTTCCAATTGCAATGGATTTAGAATAATAAAAAAACGATGATAGAATTCATCTTCCAGCGCCGTTGTAGTTTTATTTGTCGTAGGCTTTAAGGTGGAGGGAAACCTGCTGTACACATTAGAGACAACTTTAAACGGTCAAAAAGTCAACCCCAAGTGATTTTTCTGCTCAAATGAGAATGTAGGTGGTGCTCATCACCTGTTTACAACCCTGAGTCTGTGGTGGAAATTCCTCATTCATATGCCAGGGCTGAGTGTCTCCATAGGACAACCGCTGTTGAATTCCCAACAAAAGTGGTGCTTATGTCAGTCATTGGTGTTATGGGATTGTTTAACCATACTTTACCATTTTAACACGTAGGCTTTCGCGACCAGTACTTCACCATGCTGGTCAGTGCAGGTTGCTGAAGGGTGTGGTGGATGGGCGGTCGAGTGGCACAGGACCAATGCAGGTATCAGTTGCCACTGACGTTAACAATGGCCAGGAATGTGATTCAAGTCGCTGGTTTATAGCGCATAAACTTTAGCCCCTGTGCCACCATTCTGCCGTTACCTATTACGGTATGTATGGATGTACGTTGAAATTATTTCGCACCGTACGTAGCCAACCGCGCTAATTGAAGGTGCGGGCGATTTCTCTATTAACAACGTGACGTAAAAACATTATTATCCATACGTGACAAATGGCAAATGAGGTCGCATGCAAATGTTGTCAACGTGCATTTTGTTCTTCAATCTGGTCTTGCGCTTACGATCACGAAACAATTAACGGGCTTCTTGAAACGCAAAATAGTGGCTCTATCATCTCTTGTCACAAAATCACGGAGTCATTATCCATCTCAGCCTCTCACAAGGTACTAGAGCGTGAACCAGTGGGGAATTAAAAAAAGAAACCCGTTTCATTATTTATTTCGGTAACAACATGCTATGAATCAATGCCCCAAGTATTTTAATTGGTTTGGAGAATCGCCAGCTTTAATTAAAACATTCGGCGGCGCCTCACTGTAAGTAATTACCGCGTGGCTATTTAATATTGTCACGAGAACCAGCGGAGATGCATCTGGTTCTTTTAGTAGCGGGGGTGGGGGGGGGAAATTACTCGTGTCTTTTTTTTCACCCGTTCAACGCGAAACAAAACCGCACGGCCGCTTTATATTCAGGGTCACTCTTCCCTTTGTTTACAGCTAATTTTAAACGCCGTGCATCACGTGCCCTAATGGCTATTAGTGCCTCCCCAGATTCAGGTGTTTTTATATAAACCAAAGTAGTGCATCTGATGTGCCGCCCTTCAATGGGACAGCAGCTTCGCCCCTATTCACCGCTTCTTCTCGCTCGCTCAACGCCGCGTTCAACAGGTTTAGCGGCAGTCGCTTGCTGATAAAAGCTCGTTGGGGTTACCTGAACATAAAAAAAAACTCCTCGTCCACGGGACAGGATTACAAAAAAATAATATTTTGTAGAAATATACGTGCAATATATGTATACAGTAGTTGCGTGAAAAAAAAATATCGAGAAAAAATCACGGGGAAAATCGCAACTCTTCGAATTTGGTTATTTATTCAGCAGGAATTTCAATGAACGATTGTTGGAATTTCCTTTGCTTTTTCGTAGCAGCCTTGCAGTGTTGTCCATTGGTGGGTTATTATAATAACCACAGTGAAATATAAACTGCTTTACTAAAATGTTATCATGAGTGCTAGAGGTAGGAAACAATGAAATTGAGTGGAAAAATAAATATGGTGGCCTCACGTAAACTCACACGTTTGCGTGGAGATGCAGGAAATTAACTCTTGACAACTTAGCACCGCGCTCGTTTTGCTCGTCCGTCTCGGTGGTTTTAACCCGAGAGAGAGAGCGAGAGCGCAAAATCGTGACGTCCGCTTCAAAGAGAAGCCGTGCCCGCAGACAATTTCACGAGATTGTCCAATTTGCGCCTTAACAACGAGCCACGTCGAATCACCTCAAACGTCCCCCCCCCCTGCCCCCCATCTCGCTTTGGAAAACGAGTTCATTAAAATGGCCGCGCACGCGGCGGCGGCGACGAGAGAACAGATCGTCGTGATGAGAGAGAGCGAGAGAGCGAGCGAGACAGCGGTTCCCGCGCTCGGCCATCGTCGGCTGATCGCCCAGCCGGACGAAACATTCGGCCACGTGTCACGCCCAGGTCCCCCTCCCCTCCTCCTCCCACCAAGATGTTAATTTCACGCTTCTTCTTCTTCATTCAGCAGCTGCGACTAGACCGTGCCTCGCTGGAGTCGTTTCACACCCACAAGCTGCATCGTCCCGGAGGTTAACGTCCGGCAGGCTCCATGTAATTCCGTATACTCAACCGTATTCTGTCTACGGATTAGAAGGCGACGCTACCCAAATGTGTACCCGGTGTCAATAAGCGCAACGGAAATCTGGCCACGTGCGCACACGCCTACCCAAGTACAAGATGCACCGCAATGTTTTTCTTCAATGCAGGGGTGAAAATATATTATTGTTAATTATATAAAAGCATACAGAGCACTCCACCTGGATGTAAAGTGCATCGATTGTATTTGCTTTTCAGACAATTTGTGCTCTTGGTCGTTGTAGGTAGTTGCCTAGATTCAAGAGTAGGTATGGTCTTGTACATCTGCCGGTCATTTCAGTCAGTCAACCCGTGGCACCTGGGTCTGTCCTGTGACCTCCTGTCAGCGAGACTTCGACATTTCACGTGGCCTCAAAGTGCACCTGGCCTGGCACGTGCGTCGTGGTGTCACCATCGTCCTTTAGTGGCGAATGGCGGGTTTCGGTACTGGTAGGACCTTGGAGTTCACATGGTTGGTAAGGAGCAAGAGATTTCTGATTTACAATAGACAGCATCTGAGTTTATATAAAAAAAGGCTGCTCGAAATACATTCGCTTTATACAGATGCTCCCTTCCATTGGTTTTATGCAGAGGTTCATTTTGGCAGAAAATACACACTTGAGTCTGGATAATTAATCTCTTGGCAAAACAAAAATAGAGGTTCACGCCCGGTGACTTTGCATGACTAAAAACCCCTTTGACCCTGCAGCAATGTGCTTGATTATAGATAATATTGAGCCTCGCAATCTTGAAATGCTATGACGCAGTGGTGAGCGCGTGACTCAGAGGCAGAGATGTCTGCTGTGTTGACTCAGTGGGTATCTCACGCTTGGTTTGTCTGTGCCTCAGTCTAAAGATACCTTGCTCAAAGCATGTATAAGTGGAACTCTATGCGGTCTCCATATTTATATATATTTGAAATAACCCATTGGTTTATTGGCTGTCCAGACCTATATTATTGTAATTTTGCTGCTGGATAATAGCAAACTGGAATGCCGAGATCTTTTTTTTACGAGCATGGCAAACGGTAGGCATGGAGCAAAGCATATCATTATATTATCAATCACGATCAGTTCTTGCGCTCACAATACCTGCGTCATTCACGTGCGTATGATTTGATTATTTCCCCATTCATGCAAATGTTGTGCTCATGGCGCGTTAAGAAATAATTGGAGACAACAAACCGTCAGTATATAAACATGGGGGGAAAGGAAACACATTACGAACATAACGGTCAAATTTAGCATTTTTTTAAATTGTTGAATTGAATCTCAGCCCTTGGATTGTGATAATGGGACCTGTCTCCATTGTGATTTCGTGAGATTCTTTAGGAACCAAAGCGCCCAATTATGATTCCTACAGGAATCAGCTGCTGCCATGATCTCATGGTGATCACGCTCCATTTGCAATCCAGAGGTCACCAGTTTAAATATCCCAGTGCGGCAAACTCCTTCAATTTCCCCGTCTCCGTCTGCCCGGCGGTTATGTTGATCGGCATTTTGTGTGTGTAATGGGGCACAGTGAAAATGTGGGTACTGCCACCACTTAAAAGACACCTGGTCAACGTGGGGAAAAAAGTAGGGCCAAAATACCCTCCAGCATTCCCTCGAGTAAACGCCATTCCATCGGCAGGGGCATGCACGAGCAATTGCAGGGCTGCACCTTTACCTGTCACCCGCACGCATCGCCCATCTCTAATTCACGGAGAGTTTCCGCAATCCGCGGCTCTTCAAGGTTGCTGTGGCAGTCTTCAGCCATGGGTGGCGTGTGTGGAACCCAGGTTACGACCAACATGGGTGGTGATAAGCAGGCTTCACGTCGCTACAATGCTTATAGCCAGCCTGACTGCGGGGCATTTATGGACACGAGAGCATTCAAGTGCATCGTGACATCAGCGTATGAACATAAAGCAAGCACTTGAAACGGCCGTCTGTTGGGATGTTTGATTAATGTGCATGAAGTGGCGTTTTGAATGCACCGATGTGCATTGGATCAGGTCGGCGCTCGTCAAAACACACGCACGCCTCTGTTGTGAGGGACAACTTCGTGAGACACATGCGTTTACACTATGAGATCTCCTTTACCAGTGGCAAAATGTAGTAATAGGTTTTTACCCTTTTAACTGGTACAAAATCTGACACCTTTATACAAGGCATCATGTTTGCAATAACCTCAACACCAATGGAGACTAGGCTCTAAAGAAAGCTGTCTCGGGTGTGGACCAATCAACTTCAAGGACAGTGCATCTCATTATCATCATCAGAGTTGTTTCTTTTTGTTTGCATTTTGACTTCTTGTGTTGAGGTTATTGCAAACATGATGCCTTGTATAAAAGTGTCAGTTTTTGTACCAGTTAAAAGGGTAAAAACCTATTACTAACACATGCGTTTCTTTGCAAGTATAAAGAAAACGTGTTCAGGGGCACGCCATTCAATGGTGGCAGTGACAGAGGTACTAAATTGTTGGTGTGGATTCAGTGAAGTTGACTCCAAAGCGTAAAGTAGGAAGTTTTACAAAATAGTT